CTAGTAAATTCGTGCACCGAACTTCGCGAATTGACGTAGCGAAACAATCGCGGAACTCATTAACCAAATCCAGCACTTGCGTCGCTTGCTCGTTGGTGACGTCCTTTGGTAAATTCAAGTCGTTTCGCGTGATATTACTCAAAGTCAAAGATTCGTTTTTCACCCCCACGTAGTTCGCGTTTTCGTTGCCTCGAACGTATCCTATTACCTGCCCTGCACGCACTTTCACGTTCTCGTCAATGATCACGGGTACCGAATGCTCTTTTCCCGCTGCGTCGACTTGGATCACGTTAACTTCTCCACGTTTGAGATCGGAGTTCTTCATAACCGTAAGTGGTACTCGTCGCGTTTTTCTCTCGTTTAGATGCTTGAAAACGTCGTCGTCGTGGCTTCCAAACACCAGGCTGTCACCTACTTTATAATACGCTACGTGTGATTGTTCTGTGTATGAACGTCCCACAATAACGTCCGCGGTCTGGACACCTTCTTCAACGAGCCATAGTTCTACGTTTGCCTTCACACCATCTACCTGGAGAATCGCGTTCACCTTTGCGTTGCACACTACCGCTGGTTGCGTTGTACTACCAAATGCGTATAGAGGTAATTGTGCCCTTTCGGGTTTTAATCCTTCGCGCTCCACAACTTCCTTCCTTATGGTGCAGATGCTACTCCCTCCGTCGATCATACCGGATAGAAAATGGACGTCATCGACCGTCACGTCCTTCAGATATTTTAGAGCCTTCGCGTCCTCCACAAGATGTACCCGTGCGGCGGTTTCCGTTTTTTTTGTGTCGTCGTTCGTGTGGTTTTGTTTTCTCGGTTTATCACAATCTCTGGATAGATGTCCATAGAGGTTACAATTGTAACATTTTGGCTCGCCCTTGTCGTTCCACCGTAGAGAGCGTTTTGGTGTCGTTGTTGAAGCCTTACCCTTGCTGCTTGCAGTCTCGTCCGGATGAACCTCTTTCTTCGGTTCGTCGGTTTTCCGTGTATGCGCTGATTTCGTGGGGTCGTTGCCGTTACGATGTATCCGTTCCAGGGATAGAATGTCATGTAGAAGCTCGTCTGCGTCCACGTGGAATTTTGTCAGCAATGCACTTTTGCTTTCGGCTCGCGCTAATCCCGTTAGAATCTGCTCTTTGGCCTCGATGAAGTCAAGATTTACGTCACGACACATTTTATACTTTTCGTGAAAATACGTCGAGATATCCTCCTTCGACCTTTGCGTTCTTGTTCGCATCGCCTCCCAAAGCTCTGTGGTGCTCGCCTTCCTGCAGAACGTTTTCTCGAAAGCGTGTTCGAAGTTTTCCCACGTTTGCAGCTGACCGTCTCGCGCATCGTGCCATGCCTTTGCCGCTCCTCGTAGATGGATCCTCGCGGTTTCCAACTTAACTTCGTCGGACCACCGATGCATCGATCCGCTTGCCTTTATACCATGGAGCCATTCTTTGGCGACAGTTCCGTACTTTTCGCCGTTGTACGTACCTACGCCTTTCGTCAAGTCCGGCATCACATGATAAGTCGTTGCAATTGGTGTCGTTGGTTGTGGCATCGTTGCAGAAGCTAACCGTTCCATCATTTGACCCATTAGTCGTGTTTGCGTAACTAGAAGTTGCACCAGGTCCACGTTTTCCGTTTGCCCAGCAAACGCACTTGCAGTAGCGCACGGATCAGAAACTTCGTTTTCGTCGCCATATTGGACCCCGTACTCGTTCGTTCCATTCATTTCGTTTCAATTCACTGTGTAGGTCTTATCGCACTTCTGATTTTGTTATCGATATAGATGTAGAAAAGTCGTTTATTCGAGATAACACATTATACATATAGAAAATACAAATAAAAATAAACGTCTACGCTTCATGCTTTAAGAGTCTTGAATGCCTGCATTGCGTCATTTCACCTTCTTTCCTCAGTTCGCTCCCACCGATATTAATTCTCGGTTTCCGGCCGGCGTGACGTCAACAAACCTAATATGAGTGAGTGGTTTAAATGGGTAGTAGGTGCAATGTCCAGGGTGACCCAATAAGACTGTTCCTCGGCCATATCTCGAGAACCGTTCGTCATATGACTTAGGGGTAAACAAAATTATGGGGTGAATCAGTCATGAAGAATCGCTGGAAAATATTTTCAAGGTCTAAAATTGACCACCAGAGGGCGTAACTGCAATTTTAAATTTTAAAATTGATTTTCTTTAAATTTCGCATAATAAACTAAACATTCTTTTTTCACATTTTTAAAGAGAACCAGTTTATCTATCATTTTTTATACCAAATTTCAAAGACTTGGGAAAAAGTCTCAAATCCTTTTTTTTTAATGAATGCATCGACGTCAGCTATAGCTGAGAGGGGTGTTAGTATTGGTACCATAAAACCAGGCCAATTATTGGGCAAAGACATAGATCTTCAACAGAATGGGACTCCATCCAATTATGCAAGATACGCCTGTCATTATTTACATGCAATGTTTGAAAACAGGTGGACTGGTTGAGCAGGTCTGGGTCAACTCGCCTGCTCGGTCCCCAGGGTTGACTCCCATGGATTTCGTTTTGTGGGGCTTTAGAAGAGATACAATACTGTTCACTGCACCTGCAACTTTAGATGACATGAAAGACCATATACGTTCTGCCTGCTTATTAGTGACACCTGAAATGTTAGAACGGGTACGAAATTCGTTTTTACATAACTTTTATTCTTTCTACTTTTTTGATATTCCCACATGAAATAATGCAAAAACTTTATGCATTTTTTGATCTTTTGCGCTGTTGCCACGTTTCCACAAGTCATACGTCAAAACCAACATAGTAACTCTAGGCAGTTATTTGTTCGCGCAGGATTAGTAACGGATTTTTAACTCTCTTAAGTTGTGGTTCAGTGGCGTAGAAACGGGAGTACCTACTATACTCTTTTATATGTTTGTTTTAAATTTAAAATATAACAATAGTTGAAATAGCGCTGAAAGAATTATTATACCCAATGTGTAAATGCAGTTTTAAGAATCTCATAACCCACCAGTTTGGGATATCAATCATTTTTGTATTTCAAAAACATTGTGAGCTCGTGTGTAATACTTACATCTTTCACCTTTTGAATACTTGTTGAGAAGTTCAATCCCTGTTCTTCTCCCTCGTCTGACTTATAGGGGAGTGGTGGTATAGCAAACTTGTGATGTAGTGAATGCGCGGGAAAGAAGTTTTGAGTCCCAATAGATGACGCATTAAAAATGCCACATTTGTTCCATTCGAAACATTTTTCTCGCGCATATACACGCATACATGCGCATATGTGCGACTCGGAATAGACCCTAATTCTAAATTGTCATTTAGCAAACCTTTAGATACCTCGAAATGCGAAAGTCGAAATTTTGAATGATACACGTTGTATATGAACGTTAAAGTCACTAAATATATATCTAGCGACTTTAATTAACGTTATGGTACTTGTGTAACTAAGGGCCGTTTGCACAAACGCAGTTTAAACTTCGTTTAAATTAACGCAATGGATTAAGACATATGATTAGTGGAAATTTGACAAAACGTCAAATTTCAACCAATCCTCGACCGTAATCCACTGGTTAATTCCAAGCTAGGTTTAAACTGTCTTTGTGCAACCGGCCCTTAATGGTTTTTTTCTCTATTCCTAATGAATTTCATCATTTTTATATTTTGTAACAAACAGAATCAAAATATTTAACAAATTGAAGCATTTTCACAGCTGCTGCGGTAGTTATGTACCTACCTAAAGTATTGTGACGAATATGAGTATACACCAACAGAATCAGTGTCTGATTTACATGCTTTTGCAAATGATGAAATGAAAAAAAATTAATTTTAACATTTTAAACAATATAAGTGACAAAATCAGTCACAGACAGTGTAGTGTAACTATCAACAAAAATTTTCCTACCACTTATTTTGTTGTCACAGCCTGATTAGTATAGCGAAAAACACCAGTGCTAAACACATATCCATCGTTTTTCTAATAATAATATATTTATGCTTACAGGAATATATAATAATGATAGGTATGAATTTATTGTCCAACAGACATTAAAGTCCAATAACAGGCCAAAAAGTTGTACTTTACCATCTCGTTTAGCATACTTGATAAAATAATAAAAAAAGAACATATACTAAATAGTGAAAAACTAAACTAAAGCGCACTTAGCATATAGCAACTAATTAACCACTGAAACACTGAAAAAAAACCAGCAACTCTATCACTACTAAAAAACTGGCGCTAATTCAGAGGTAAACTGTACAATCCGCCAAATGAGATAAAGAATCATAATTCTGACATAATTATTACATAAACCTCTGATTTGAAGATAATGTATCTCAACAGGTGTTGCTCAAAGTTCAATCAGTTATATTAGCACATTTTATGTTTTAAACGGTGCTGTTGTATTACATATCGAAATCACATTAGTAAATTTCAAATCCTTACAAACCAAGTTGAAAATTTAATGTTTTAAAAGATGTCGCTTGTAGAGGTATTTATTATTTGTCCCATAATCACAAGTAGCACACTTAAAATCCTTAGAAATGTTATGTGTTAAAAGGTGTTGATTAAAGTTATATTTATTGTTGGTCTCATAATCACAATCAGCACATTTAAAATCTTTCAAAACTTTATGTGTTAACATGTGTAGATTAAAGTTATATTTCTTGTTTGTCTCATATTTACAATTGGCACATTTAAGATCTTTAGAAACCTTATGTTTCAAAAGATGTTGTTTGAAATAGTGTTTATCATTTGTCGCATAATCACAAGTATCACACTTAAACTCCTTGGAAACATTATGATTTAAAAGATGCCGTTTGAAGCGGTGTTTATCATTTGTCCCATAGCCACAATTAGCACATTTAAATTTCATACGAGCAGTATGTTTTAAAAGGTGTGTTTTGAAGGTGTGTTTATAATTTGTGCCATAATCACAATAAGTACATTTAAAAACCTTTGAAACGTTATGTTTTAAAAGGTGTCGTTTGAAGTAGTGTTTATCATTTGTCCCATAGTCACAAGTATCACATTTAAAATCGGTAGAAACTTTATGTTTTAAAAGATGTCGTTTGAAGAAATGTTTATTATATGTTTCAAAATCGCAAGTAGCACATTTAAAGTCCTTAGAATCTTTATGTGTTAAAGGATGTTGTTTGAAGAGGTGTTTATTATTTGTCCTGTAATCACAATCAGCACATTTAAAAACCGTAGAAACCTTATGTTTTAAAAGGTGTTGTTTCAAGAGGTGTTTAATATTTGTACCGTAATCACAATCGGCACATTTAAAATCCTTAGAACTTGTATGTTTTGACAAATGTCCTTTGATGTGGGGTTTATGATTTGTCTCATAATCACAATGACCACATTTAAAATCTTTAGAAACCTTATGGTTTAGAAGATGTCGTTTGAAAAGACGTTTATTATTTGTCTCATAATCGCAAGTAGCACATTTAAAATCCTTAGAATCACTATGTATTAAAAGATGTTGTTTGAAGTTGTTTTTATTATTCGTGCAATAGTGACAACTAGCACATCTAAAATCTTTAAAAACTCTGTGTTTTAAAAGATGTTGTTTGAAATAGTATTTATCATTGGTTCCATAATCACAATTAGCACATTTAAAATCAGTAGAAACTTTATGTTTTAAAAGGTGTTTTTTAAGAGCAGGCTTATGATTTGTCGCATAATCACAATTACAACATTTTAAATCCTTAGAAACTTTATGTATTAAAAAGTGTCTTTTGATAGAAGATTTATAATTGGTTTCATAATCACAATCAGCACACTTAAATTCTTTGGAGACTGTTTTAATCTGAGTTAAAAGGTTACGTTGAAAGTCAGAGTGTTGCTCTACTTCTTCATTATGAAGGGATTTAGAACAGGGTGTACTAATAGTAACTTCATCCTTTATTGTCACCAAAACATCATTGCGTATCGAAATGTGTTCATGTAGAAAGGAATGGATTTCCTCTTCTTGTTTTGGTTCAACTTTAATGAGTAGGGTGTCATTATCGCCATCCATATCTAACAACAATGTTAGTGTAAAAAATCTGTTGAAGTTTATCAAAAATCTACCTATTTTGGTATTCGAACAATAGGAACATAATCAAGATTGAATACGTATGGTTATATTTATTTGTATGTTTGACTAGTAGTCCCGGCGAATTTTGTACTGTTATCTCTCCTCTCACAAACACTCACAAAATACTTAACTATTGAAATAAATTATGGAAAACTGGCAAAACGATGTCAGACGCCATTCCATCTTCATTCGGCTGAACTTATCCACAGAATACGGCCTTGAACTTATCTACATGCCAAACTTCGTAACATTTAGAAAACAGGTGTCACTTTTCCATAAAATCATACCAAAGCGCTGTTGCCATCAAACATCTCTTACTTTACCGTCTTTGGGAAATCCGATTTTTCTCGTACCCCGTCCCTGTTTTTCACCGTTCCCATGAGAACTTCGGGAATCCCCTTTTGGAATACACCTTAACCACAGAAATTATACATTTTTGTGCAGTGACCTTAACTCATTCACAGAAATTGACATTATTTCGCTTTGGCGCCATCTATATGAAATATGGGTTCCGGTTCCGCACTGTTTAGGTAGAATTATTTTTTAAGGGTTCCGGTTTTGTAGCGTAGGAATTTTGGGTTTCGGTTCCTGTTCCAGCTTTTTTCAGTTTTTAAGGGTTCCAACATAAATAAAATAAAGCCCATTATTCTCTCGATTATTCTTTTACATAAACATATTTTTCTATCTCTCTATCTATCTCTTTCTACTTTCCTTTTGTTCAGCAGTAGTTTCGACTATTGCTTTGTTCATGCAGGGTTGGTGGTTTATTGCTACCTATATAAGCAAATTTAATAGCGTTAAATCTACACAAATTATGAGCCTGCATAAACAAACATGTACAGAGCAGGCAATGACAGGCTTTACTATTAACTTTGGCCAACAGTTTACAAAGTAAAATAGATATTCAAACTGTATAGTAGAATTAGCAGTGTGCTAACTGTCAGGACCCTTCACTCTTCAGCAATGAGGTAACTAAACTCAAGAGAATCTGTAATTTTAAGGTAATGCCTAAGGTATTCCAAAAGGTATGTTGCTCAAAGTCCGATCTATTAATTATCTCATAATCACAATTAGTGCATTTAAATTTTATGTTGTAAAAAAGGTATTTGAAGAAGTGTTTCTCATTTGCTCCAAAATCACGATTACCATATTTCTTCCCTAGTTAAAACGTTATAATTTTTGTCATAGGTACAATTATAGTAGGTAGGTACATTTTAAAGATCTTTAAACTTTGTGTTTTAAAAAATGCCTTTTAAAGTAGTATTTATCATTTGTCCCATAATCACAAGTAGCACATTTAAAATCTTTAAATTCTTTATGTATTAAAAGATGTCGTTTGAAGTGGTGTTTATTATTTGTGCCATAATCACAAGTGGCACATTTAAAGTCCTTTGAAACTTTAAGTTTTAAGAGGTGTTTTTTAAGATCGGATTTAAAGTTTGTCTCATAGTTACAATGAGCACATTTAAACTCCTTAGAAACATTATGTTGCAAAATGTGTTGTTTGAAGTAGTGTTTATCATTTGTTTCATAATCACAAGAAGCACATTTAAAATCCTTAGAAACTTTATGTTTTAGAAGGTGTCGTTTAAAGAGGTGTTTATTATTTGTCCCATAATCACAAACAGCACATTTCAACTCCTTGGAAACTTTATGTTGTAAAACGTGTTGTTTGAAATAGTGTTTATCATTTGTCTCATAACCACAAGTAGTACATTTAAATTCCTTAGAAACTTTATGTTTCAAAAGGTGTTTTTTAAAATTGGACTTAAAATTTGTGTCATAGTTACAATGAACACATTTAAAATCCTTAGAAACTTTATGTTTTAAAAGATGATGTTTGAAATTGCATTTATCATTGGTTCCATAATCGCAATGAGCACATTTAAAAGCCTTAGAAATTTTATGCTTTAAAAGATGTCGTTTGAAGTTGCTTTTATAATTTGTCTCATAATCACAATCAGCACATTTAAAAACTTTCGACACTGTTGTACACCGAGTTAAACAGTGACATTGAAGAGATTGAGAACATGGTGCACTGATAGTAATTTCGTCCTTTACCGTCACCAAAACTTCATTGCTTATTGAAATGTGTCTCTGAAGAAGGGACTGGATTTCTTCTTCTTGTTTGGGTTCGATTTTATATGGTGTGTCGTTATCGCCATCCATACCTATCAACAATAATGTTAAAAATTAATAGGTTAAAAACCTATTTTGATATTTAACAATACAGGGAGAGATTCTTGGGCAACCAGACATTACTTATATATTTTCTGAGTAACAGAATTTGTTGCGAGTTATCCCATGACAATTATTTGATTACAATTGGTTATAATAAAGAAAACTTTAATTCGATGCTACGTCGCTTTGGTAATAAGCATACTGGATTACCGACTGGGAAATATGATTCTAACTTCACAGAGCTGTAGGCATGGATTTTATCATGTCTATGCTTGCTATAGTATGAAACACGTATACATGGGGATGACTCATGGTTGAACAACAAACAAACCGAAAAAAGACGCTTGTACAGCTTATTGTTTGTTGACAATGAAACAAGTTCCAAAACATTTTGATATTGCAAGTGCTGACTAAGAATGGAAAACAGGGGGAGCTCTGCAGTGCACCACAAAAACATGTTTTGCTTCATTTTAAAGTATTTCCAGAAAGGTTATTCCATTTGGGGTATCTGGCATGAATAACTGCTAAGCATACATTTTATTTTATAATTATAATTTAGATACAGTAAAACCACTGTAACCTTAGAAAAAGTATGCTTTGCGCAGCTAATATAGAAGGCATGGGAAGGGATTGTACACTCCCAGAAGTAGTTCGTTTTTAGGCTCATTGATTATTGCTCAGTCGAACATTAAGTTAAATGACTATTGTAGAATTGAGTAATGTGTTATTAACTAGTAATAAATAATCGATAACTTTTTTAATTATATTGACATTAATACCGTGAGTAATGTGCAAATACTACTTCTGTTCTGGTTGTAGTTTTCTGTTCCGAATGTACATTATAGCCGAACCTGGTAAGAAACGCCGATCAAGTGCGGACGAATCCGAACATGCATGCGCAAATTTTCTAAGGTTACGATGGTTTTACTGTAGGTAGGTATACTTTGTGAAATATAGTTAAAATAGAACACTTTTGAATGTAGTATGGAGTAAAATCAATATTCAAATTGTAGTACCTAATTAGCAAATATGCCAAGTCAGAACTCTTTCAACATACCAATATTTATTATTTATCTCATATAGGTACTCAGAATTAGAACATTTAAAAATGTTAGACTCTTTTATGTTTCAAAACGTGCTGTTTGAGATAGGATTTCTTTTTTGTCTCAAAATCACAATTAGCACATTTAAAATCCTTGGAAACTGTATGCGTTAGAAGATGTTGTTTAAAGTTGCTTTTATAATTCGTCACATAATCACAATCGGCACATTTCAAATCCTTAGAAACTTTATGTTTTAGAAGATGCTGTTTAAACTTGCTTTTATAATTTGTCTCATAATCACAATCAGCACATTTAAAATCACTTGAAACTTTATGTTGTAAAAGGTGTTGTTTGAAGTACTTTTTGACATTTGTCCCATAATCACAATGACCACATTTAAAATCCTTAGAATCTTTATGTGTTAAAAGGTGTTGTTTGAAGTACCTTTTGACATTTGTCCCATAATCACAATGACCACATTTCAAATCCTTAGAAACTTTATGTTGTAAAAGGTGTTTTTTCAGATCCGATTTAAACTTTGCCCGATAGTTACAATTAGCACATTTAAAATCTTTAGAAAATTTATGTATTAAAAGATGTCGTTTGAAGTACTTTTTAACATTTGTCCCATAATCACAATCAACACATTTAAAATCTTTAGACACTGTTTTACAGGGAGTTAAAAGGTGACATTGAAAGTCAGCGTGTTGCTGATTATTATAAAGAGATTTAGAACGCAGTATACTATCTGTAATTTCATTTTTTATTGTTACCGAAACTGCGTTGCTTACTCGAATGTGTTCCTGAAGAAAGGAATGGACTTCTCCCTCTTGTTTTGGTTCGATTTTAATGAGCGGTGTATCATCTCCCTCCATACCTAAAATAATGTTGGTACATATTAAATACAGAGCGAGATCCCAGGGTAACCAGACATTACTTTTTGAATAACACAAATTCTTGAATAAGAGCCACCAACAATTGTTTGGTTATAATAAAAAAAATTTCATTGAGATTTTGCTCTGTCGCTTTGACGCTTAAACGATTACTGGATTACCGACACGGAAAAATGTGACGCTAGTACACATTAGTGTGTTTTTACACGGAACATGGTGCATACTTTTTGTGCAAATAGGGCCAGATCATTCATAGATCGAATCCCGTTCATGATCCGGTTACTCAATTCCAGCAAATGGCCGCTCGTTATCAACAGGTAGAAAATACGTCAAAGGTGTTGGTACTTGCAGGCAAATGGTGAGCTTAATCAAAGTTTATGAACTCCAAACTCGTAGGTACGTCAACAGAAGGGTAGGAAAAGCGTCTCCGTACTTATAATAATATGTTTATTGTGATAACTTAATCAGGTCAATTAAAATTGAATTTGAACCCTACAATTAAAAACCCTAAAAGAAAATCAAAGGTAATCCCCTTTTCTTGATAAACTAAAATGTTCATACAAATGGCGTACTTACCATGGAAGTAAAAAACGCAATCCGTCCTAACAAATATTTCCGGAATCCCCAAATTAATGGAACCAATTACCAGATTAATAATATATGGATGATGCAAATCCAGGCTTATAATCTTTATTTATATTTACTACATTTTGATCTTAACAGGTTCGACGCCTAGCCTAGTCAATAAGCAATAAGAAACTGAGAAATTTGTCCTTAAGTGTCTGAATTCAGGACACTTACCTTAATTAGAAGTGTACAATCAGGATTAAAGCACCCAATCCCAATGTACCTCTAACTAAAGGTGTTGCTCGAAGCCTAATTTATTATTGATCTTATAATCATGTTAGTTAAAGTAATATTTGTTGTTTATCCTAAAATCACAATCAACACATTTAAATTCCTTAGAAACTTTGTTTTAGAAGAGGTTGCCAAATATGTTTTAAAAGATGTTTTTTAAGATCGGGTTTAAATTTAGTCCCATAATCACAATGAGCACATTTAAAATCCTTCGAAGCTCTATGTTTTAAAATGTGCTTTTTAAGATTGGATTTAAAAATTGAACGATAATCACAATAAGTACATTTAAAACCCTTGAAAGCTTTATGTGTTAAAAGGTGTTGAGTCAAAGTATATTTTTTGTATGTCTTGTAATCACAAACAGCACATTTAAAATCTTTATGTTTCAAAAGATGTTGTTTCTTATTAGTCCCATAATCACAAGTAGCACATTTAAAATCCTTAGAAACTTTATGCTTTAAAAGATGTTGTTTGATGTGCTGTTTATTATTTGTTCCATAATCACAACTAGCACATTTGAAATCTTTAGACACCTTATGTGTTAAAAGATGTCGTTTGAAGTTCTGTTTATCATTTGAACCATAATCACAATCACCACATTTAAAATCTTTCGAAACTTTATGTATTAAAAGGTGTTTTTTAAGATCGTATTTAAATTTTGTCTCATAGTCACAATTAGTACATTTAAAATCTTTAGAAACTTTATGTTTGGAAAGATGTTGTTTAAAGTTACCTTTATCGTTTGTCTCATAATCACAATTAGCACATTTGAAATCCTTTAAAGCTTTATGTTTCAAAAGATGTCGTTTGAAATGGCGTTTATCATTCGTCTCATAATCACAATCAGCACATTTAAAATCCTTAGAAACTTTATGTCTTAAAAGGTGTTCGTTATATTGATATTTATTGTGTGACTCATAATCACAATTAGCACATTTAAAATCTTTAAAAGCTGTATGTTTTAAAAGATGTCGTTTAAAGTAGTGTTTATTATTTGTCTCATAATCACAATCAGAACATTTAAAATCTTTAGAAACCTTATGTGTTATAAGATGTTGGGTCAAGTAGTATTTATGATTTGTGCCATAGTCACAATAAGTGCATTGAAAATCTTTAGAAACTTTATGTTTTAAAAGATGTTGTTTCAAGTAGTGTTTATTACTTGTCTCGTAATCACAATCAGCACATTTAAAATCGTTAGAGCCATTGTGTTTTAAAAGGTGTCGTTTGAAGTAGTGTTTATTATTTGTGTCATAATGACAATCAGCACATTTAAAAACTGTAGAAACTCTATGTGTTATAAGATGTTTGTTCAAGTTAGACTTCTTGTGTGTCTCATAATCACAAAAGGCACATTTAAAATCTTTCGAAACTGTATGTATCAAAAGATGTTGTTTGAAGTAGTGTTTATAATTTGTGCCATAATCACAAAAAGTGCATTGAAAATCCTTAGAAACTTTATGTGTTAAAAGGTGTTTGTTCAAGTAATGTTTGTTGTATGTCTCATAATCACAAACGGCACATTTAAAATCCTTCGCAACTTTCTGTTTTAAAAGATGTTGTTTAAGGTAGTGTTTATTACTTGTCTCATAGTCACAATCAGCACATTTGAAATCCTTAGAAACTTTATGTGTTAAAAGATGTCGTTTGTAATGGTGTTTATTATTTGTCCCATAATCACAATCAGCACATTTCAAATCTTTAGAGACTGTTTTAAACAGAGTTAAAAGGTGACCTTGAAAGGCAGAGTATTGCTGCACTTCTTCATTATCAAGAGACTTACGACATTGTGTACTAATGGTAGTTTCATCCTTTATTGTCAACAAAACTTCGTTGTTTACTGAAATGTGTTCTTGAAGAAAGGAATGGATTTCTTCTTCTTGTTTTGGTTCGATTTTAATGAGAAGTGGTTCATTATCTCCATCCATATCTAACAACAGTAAAAGTTGTAAATAAAAGTATTAAAAATCTATTTTGGTATTAAACAATTCAGAGCGGGGATCTCACATCCCAGGGCAACCTTGCCGTACTTTAATTTCACAGTAACAAAACAATTTGAGGATCACGTGACCATTGGAATTAGAAAGATAGCTAAAAACAAAAGAACCTTTTGGAGTATTTAGATCGCCAACATACAATTGGTTTGTTTCAATCGCTGAATCTCATTAGAATATTGCCCAAAAAATCTCGATGTCTATTACTATTAATAACAAAAACATTTAGTGCGTAAACTTACTTTTATTAATCAATAATCGTACATACAAGACACACGTAAATCTTGACACCTACGAGTAATTATTTTTTACTCGTAGCTTGACACAAACACCACAAAAAACCATATATATAAGAGAAAAAACTAAAGACACAAGTGAGAGAGAAAGATGCATATCACACAGAATATCGACGTCCACTTTGAACAGAACCGTACCATAGAACACATTCTTCCAGCGCTGCCTTCTATATAGGCAACTCGACAGAATCTCTTCACCACCAGGAACGCCCTTTTATTTTTTATAAAACCTGAAACATAGCATATACATTGTTCTGATTTTAACCCACCCCGCAGTTCGAAGCTGACATGACAGATTTTGAGTCAAAGTGGCAACATTGAAATCGCTGCGGGTTATTTGCCATAAAACGTTCTACGAGTTGGACGTTTCGGAGCGATTGTTACTGTGACAATTCCAAATTCCGAAGAATTCTGCCACAGGCGACTAGGGCAGCTCAACCGAGTGAGTAGGCGGCTATTGAAAAATGAAATGGCTAATGGCATGACATATATAAATTAAATCCACTTATACACATGATACTGCAATGGAAAATGGGACCAATGTCAAAAATGTTTGCTGAGAAAGCAGGCGAGGCAATCGTTCAACAAGACGGGAGTCAATTTGGCACTCCTTTAACGAAATAATTGACACATTAAGGCACAAGAAAAAGCAAACAAAACGGGTATTTTTTGTGGCTAAAGAAATCAAGAATTTTTTGTCAATTTTTATTTTTGCAAATTAAACAGGTTTTACTTAGTTGTTCTCTATGCCTAATGAATTAAAAAAATTGAAGCATTTTTTACAGCGATTGCGATATGTACATTGTACGAATTTAAGTACTACACTATCAGAATCTGTGTCTGATTTACACGAGAATTTATATGCTTTTGCAAACGATTTTATAAAAAATGATTCCTCAGTTATTTTTAACATTGTAAACAATATTAGTGACAAACTCAGTCACAGTGCAGTCTATCCCACACAACACACCGCCGTACATTAAAAGTTCACTGTATGTACATATACACCAAATTTGTACAATGGACGTCCATTGCAGATCCAAATGTCAACGATATGGACAGGTTATGTCAAGGTTTATGTACCTACATACTGTACGTCCTATGAACGTTTGTTACCAGTCATTTTATTGCAATAGATTAACAATAAAACAGCTACTTTGCAAGCGATATCTACTCAAACGCTGTTAAAAACATAAAGTAAGTAGATAACAAAAAATTCACGTCCTTTCCTTTGCTCTTTGGGGTCATTTAAAAATTGCTTTTTTGGAAACTGTCTTGGGAAATGTTTGCATCTCAGCTTCTAAAATCAAAAATGGTATTAATGAGATCTAGTGTACGATATACCTATATTTACATACGTAGACCCGGATTAACACACAAATTAAGCTATTACACTGGATCAAATCTCGGCAAATACCTATAATATAAATACGAGTTAATCATCATGTAATTTAACCATATTGAAAAAATAAAATGCTAATGTTGTCGCATTGCGCAGTCGCGTGTATATTGTTGTGAGACCTAACCTACACTTCTGGGAATCCCACGATTTCCCTCTAACTAGCTCAGTTGTAATTTAAAAAAAAAACCAAATTTTTACACGCATCTCAAGGTCCAGCTGGATTCTGCCACCCTACAGCATTCCAACAATGACATAAATAGGTGGCTTAACCAAATCCTTAAATTCCAATATGAAATTTTACCCCCAGATTTAAACAACTTGAAACAAAGTAAGAGACGCCGACAATTACTTCTCCTTGACTCTAATAACAAAACCTGGATTGCAATGACTGGTTTAATTTCAAACAAAAAATTGCGTAAATTTCTGTTTTACAAATTTTTACAACTTTTTACAATTTTAAACAAAAAAATGACACACACAAAAAAAAAACAAATTACTCAAACATTACAAACAAAACAAGACAAAACAAAACACTAACTACTACTTACTTTTAAAAATTAGTCCGAAATAACGTATTCCGATAAAAAGAGGTATCCGTACACAATCACGTAAACCAACCACTCAAACACCGACGTCTTCTCTCTTCGGGTACCCACGAATTCAAAACTTCCGTGTTTCCGCAAAAATAAAAAAAAAACAGGACGGCGACAAACTTCTTAAACTTCTCAATAATTCTTCTTAAAACGGCAGACAAAAATTCTAATTAAACCTGGATCCACTACGCAAGAAACTTCCACAAAATTCAAAAAAATAACGTAACCGAAGAAGCGCCGGTTGGCTTTGTAACGACCAAAAAGCCCCGCTCTCTTCAAAAATTTTCTNTTACACTTTTGATCAGTTCTTTAATAAACTTTATTTGTGTTTCAATTTCAATTAAGCGTATTATTTGCGTTCCGCCTTTCCGATAATTAGCATGGGTACGAGTGAGTGCAACCTGGCCTTCCACAACGTAGGTGTTCCGGACATTGTCGAGTGCGAGGTTTGTGTTACTACGCAGGTGTTCCGAGTTCGTGTTTTTCCCGCTTTCGTTAGCGCGGGAGCTGTCGACTTGGGTACATCACAAATTTAATTTCGAATGCAAGTGATATTTTTTTTATGAAACTTAAATCTATTATTCAGTTAATTACAAATTAAAGGTCATATATTTTTTATATTGTAATTCACAGGTTAGGATATCTACTTACTCTATATGTGTTCATTTTGATTTAAATTATTTAAGTATTTTTATTTATAAATTATGTTATTAAGTTATCACTCTCTACTTGAATTTAATTTAATTTTGTCCTGTTAATGGATTTATTCTGTTTGGGCAATAAAGCATTATTATTATTATTGTTCGAATTTGTGCGCGCCATAATTGGAACATACGTCCATTGTAATTATCTTATAGACCACGTGTTAAATGTTCCATAAGACGGAATCATCAGACGTCCAGTGTACCTACATACATTTTTGTTACATGGACAACTTAAAATGGATCACATATGAACTTTCAATCTAAGAACTGTTGTGTGGGTATCAACAAAGAGTACCTATCCCACCACTTCTTTTAGAGGGGAGAAAATGAACAATTTGTCTCAATTAGGGAGACTTACCCTAATTAGTAGTGTGCACTCAGGATCCTTTTAGCGTAAAGATCCAATGGGCTTAGAGAAAACGAAAATGCACTAAAAATACCGTTTTTCCAACGTAGTGGTCTCTCTAAATCTGTTCCTTCCAATGAGAAAACCTCGCAAGCACCTGTGATTTGAAGATAGCACGCAATCTCACACCCAATTGTACCCCAAAAGGTGTTGCTAAGAGTACGAACTATTATTTATCCAATAATCACAAGCACTACAATTAAAATTGTTAAAATCGTTACAGCTTTGATTTGAAAATATTTTATAGAAAATATGAAGGTGTTTTTTAAGACCGGGTTTGAAATTTGTCCCATAATCACCAAGAGCACATTTAAAATCCTATGAAACACTATGTTTTAAAAGGTGTTTTTTAAGATCGGATTTAAAATTTGAACGATAATCGCAATAAGTACATTTCAAACGCTTCAAGGTTTTATGTGTTAAAAGGTGTTGTGTCAAGGCATATTTCTTGTATGTCTCGTAATCACAAACAGTACATTTAAAATCCTTAGAAACTTTATGTTTCAAAAGGTGTTGTTTGAAGTGGTGTTTATTATTTGTCCCATAATCACAAGTGGCACATTTAAATTCCTTAGAAACTTTATGCTTTAAAAAATGTTGCTTGAAGTGCTGTTTATTATTTGTTGCATAATCACAAGTAGCACATTTGAAATCTTTCAAAACTTTATGTGTTAAAAGATGTCGTTTGAAGTTCTGTTTATCATTTGACCCATAATCACAATCATCACATTTAAAATCTTTCGAAACTTTGTGTATTAAAAGGTGTTTTTTAAGATCGTATTTAAATTTTGTCTCATAGTCACAATTAGTACATTTAAAATCCTTAGAGACTTTGTGTTTGACAAGATGTTTTATAAGGCCGCTTTTATCATTTGTCTCATAATCACAATTAGCACATTTGAAATCTTTCGAAACTTTATGTATTGAAAGATGTCGTTTGAAGTGGTGTTTATCATTCGTTCCATAATCACATATAGCACATTTAAAATCCTTACAAACTTTATGTCTTAAAAGGTGTGCGTTATATCTATATTTATTGTGTGTCTCATAATTACAATTAGCACATTTAAAATCCTTAGAAACTTTACGTGTTATAAGGTGGTTCAAGTTAGATTTCTTGTTTGTATGTATCAAAAGATGTTGTTTGAAGTCACGCTTATAATTTGTGCCATAATCACAATATGTGCATTGAAAATCCTTAGACACTTTATGTTTTAAAAGATGTTGTTTCAAGTAGTCTTTATTACTTGTCTCATAATCACAATCAGCACATTTAAAATCCTTCGAAATTTTATGTTTTAAAAGATGTCGTTTGAAGAGTTCTTTATTATTTGTCTCATAATTACAATCAGCACATTTCAAATCTTTAGAAACTTTATGTGTTAAAACGTGCCGTGTGAAGACCTGTTTATTATTTGACCCATAATCACAAATAACACATTTAAAATCCTTCGAGGCTTTATGTTTTAAAAGATGTTGCTTCAAGTAGTCTTTATTACTTGTTTCATAATCACAATCAGCACATTTAAAATCCTTCGAAACTTTATGTTTTAAAAGATGCCGTTTGAAGTAGTGTTTATTATTAGTCTCATAATCACAAACAGCACATTTATAATCCTTCGAAACTTTATGTTTTAAAAGATGTTGTTTCAAGTAGTGTTTATTACTTGTGTCATAATCACAATCAGCACATTTAAAATCTTTAGAAGCTTTATGTGTTAAAATATGTCGCTTGTAGAGGTGTTTATTATTTGTGCCATAATCACAATACGCACATTTAAAAACTGTTTTGACCACAGTTGAAAGATGACCTTGAAAGTCAGAGTGTTGCTGTACTTCATTATCGAGAGGTTTAAGACATTGTGTACTAACAGTAACCTCGTCCTTTATTGTCAATAAAACTTCGTTGCTTACTGGAATGTGTTCCTGAAGAACGGAATGGATTTCTTCTTCTTGTTTTGGTTCGATTTTAATGAGAAGTGGTTCATTATTTCCATCCATATCTAACAACAATAAAAGTATTAAAAAACTATTTTGGTATACAGACGAATCAAACATTACTTAGTTTCGTAGTGACAAAATTTCTTTAATAAAGGTAGGTACGTGCACAACAGAACTGTGATATTAACTGATAGCCTAGAAGCTGAAATTATACGCGCTTACTGGTGCGATACTAACATATAAATAAAAATTATAGCCTTTCCACTCTCATTTTTAGTTGCGATGTAGGACAGTGACTACAGTATTTTTGTTTGTAACTACAAAGGTGTATGTTCTGTGGGGTTTACCCTACCGGGAATACCACTCACCCAATCAATGAAAATAGTTTCAAAATGGGAGAGTTTCACCATCTATATCAAGAATTGAAGGGATACCCTGATAGTTTTTACCAATATACAATTTATTACATTAAAGACAAGGTGTATAAGCGATAAATTACCACTGCGCGTTTCTGCTCGCTGAAAAAATGGTCAAACTCATTCTAGTACCTATGTTATAATCCATCATCCCGACTGTAAGTACTCATTGCTGCAATGTGCACACTCTTATTGAAAACAATATCATATTTAACATCGATGGTTGCTTCCATTTATCATCCAGGCTATATAAGCAAGTATCACACACAGAAATATACACAGTTCAGTGGTATCACAGTGCACTACCCTACGTGTTACATCCACTATTTGACAATCACATTAGATTAGAAAAGATGGCTAAAAATAAAAGAACTTTTTGGGGTATTTAAATCTCCAACATAATTTGTTTCAATTAGTCTTTTGTTTCAATGGTTTCAATAGGCGAATTGCATTAGAATATTGGTCAAAAATTCTAGACGTCTTTTAGTATTAACAACAAAAAACCTTTAGTGCGTAAACTTACTTACCAGTAATTGTACATAAATCATAAATAAAACACAGATAAATCTTGATACACACACACCATAATTGAAAACCAATGAATATAGAATACCAGGAAGGAGAACATCAACAATATACGTGTGACCGCGATGGCTTTTGCAAATGGCGGGCAGTAGTTTTCTGTTCCAGTGGCGTACCTACCTTACAGTTGTAGAAGGATACAATTATAAAGAGTTTTACACGAAAACAATCTAAACTCCCATGTGTCTACTCCGCCTATGACTTTTGTTTAACTAACCTCAAACTACATTTCGATAAAAAATTTGTAAATTTACATGTACTATATAAAAATAATATTGGTATCAATACTTACACATGAAATGTAATTCCCAAACTTTTATTTTTTTCCGTTTTGGAGCAACCACAAGCACAACAATTAACCATTATTTTGTCACTTCAAAAGCCACAACAAAAAGAGTCATAAATGGCTTTTGCAAATGGCCGACTTCCGTCCCACTCTCTGTTGTATACAACCTGAGTGGTCTTATATAATATATGGGTATTCTTTATTCATTGGTATTATTGTATTCCCCACCAGGATCGCTTAGAGATATAGATGGGATCGCTCTTTTATGAAACCTGAAATATACTTCACTGCATTTTTGAAGAAAAATTTGTTTAGGCCCGGTTTTCAACAAAACGTTTCATTTTATACCGTTCTGTTATCTAATCTAAGGTAAGAGCCGTAAGAGGCTATTTTTGAGTATTGACACGGTTCTTGCATTAAGAATGTTTTTTTGAATAGCTATACAGGGTGTCCTAAGAGGAGTGGTCAATAATTTGGGAAGTTAAAGTAGAGGTTATTTGAAAGACAAAAACGCTAATAAACTATATTTTTATTCTCGTTTCGAAGACATAGCCAACAATTGTCATTTTATTTTAACTGAGTAGTTTATAAATCAATAGTCTCTAGCCAACTATAGTCACATTGGGGTAACAATTGAGTATAAATAAATAGTGCTTAATTGTTAATTGTCATATAAATATGGATTTATAAAATTAATCAAAATTTAAGAAGAAGAGTGGTGAAGTGCGTGAACGTACAAGGTAACATTTTTGAGCTTTTGATGCAGTTATCCCAAGCTGTCTATAGTTGGCTAGTAGACCTCTGGCACACGATGTGAAATGTAAATATCCCTTCGAACACCCTGTATATTTCGGATACAACCAGTCAAGTAGTTCGAGATGCTGGGGACATGAGCCACCGCCGTCAACAATGGTAATTTTTTTGTAACTTCGGTTTGTTGTTTACTAAAGCTTAATTTTTTAGCGGAAATATTGCCTTCGGAGTTATATTCTTGTTCTTGTGTTTAAGTTATATTCAGCAACTTTTATATCGGGTAAAGGTAAAGTATTTTATGTAGTTCAATCTGCTTATTAATCTGTACCTATACATTTGAATTGTGCAACTTGTAATATCAGGTATTTTCCATCTAACATTCTGCTAATATGTAATTTACAACATGCTAATTGTTAACTAAAGTCCATGTGCTTGTGGAAGTCTACGACTTCTCAGGTTTATACCACGTTTAACTCAGTTACAGGGTGTGCACATATCGACTTCCGTAACGTGGGGCATGAATGCTTTGTATATTTAGGTTAGGGTGACTTGTAACATTCACGAATGTGTGTGCCTTGTTGTACATAACTAATATCTTCCTACCGTGAGAAGGAGCTCGGACGCTAGAATAGAAATGTATTCTAGAGCTAAGTCACGAAAGGTTCCGAGGGTCTTCGAACTTTCAACTTTAGGGGTGTAGCATCCACAACCGAGGACCGCTTATCCATGGGCTTAACTGTCTTCAGTGTCGTGTCTTCATGTGATGAATGTTAGTGGAGTGTTACGAGGCACATGTAGTAGTTACGGAGGTCTGAGCTTTATACCAATGTCATTATGTGGAAACTGAGGGTTTTCGGAATGATTTTATATTAAATGAACTCGCAGACATTTCAGCGTTGTATTTGAGTGTTCCTGCCCGACTGAGTCCCGAGTCATTGTATTATCTTCGTCATACGTAAGGGGGCGTTACCTTAGACGATCTGATCATGTGCCATTCTTTTGTTTTAAATTTAAGCGGGAACTGTGGTTTGATGCTGGGATTGCAACGTTGCCACTTTGCAGTAAAATTTGTCATGTTATCTTCGAACCTGGGGGTAGGTTAAGATCAGTACAAAAGTTGTACCTATTTCTTCTTTAATTTTGTCTCGGCACACAGTGTAGTGGGATTTGCCCGAGGGTATACCCTTTCCGATTTTGCATTTTTTGCAAAATCCCTACCACGAAAGGGTGCACCCCTAAATGGGAAGAAGGGGGGCATACTTGATGAGTCAAGGAACAAAATTGTCAAACAGTTTTCTAAAATTCTGTATAATTTGGGCAGTGTACCTAAATTCGTCACATACTGTACAGATCGCAGTCGCTACGAAAAATGATTAAATTTGTTTAAAATTCTGTGCCTCTTTGTTATCAAAGATAAAAGACAAAGACAAAAACGGCTGTTATTAAATAACAAATTTTATTTTGATTGATCTATATATAAATGCGCCTTATACAAAGTAATGCGTAGCGGTAAGGTCCTCCTTACATGTAAATATATGCAAAATATAAAAGTAAATTAGCCATATAAGTATTATAAACATTTCTAACGTATTTTCTATAATTGTCCACATTTTTAAAAAGTGCAACGAAGTTCAACCTTTGTGTAAAAACTCTTTATAAAATATTTACGACCAAATATATATATATTTTTTTAAACCTATAACTGTTTCAGAATTTCTTACTCTTTATCTATACAGGGTGAAACATACAGAAACTAACTTAGATAACTACACAATGCCACCCAAATCAGTTTAAACATGAACTTCATATAGCTAAATATATTTATTGTTTCTGTAACATGTATTTAGTATAGAAAAATATACTCATACGAACTTAAAGGTTACAAATATAGACTTTGCAATTTTAATTTTGGTTTTAGTTACTTTTGATATCTAGAATTTGCTATTTAAGCGGAATGGAAGCTTTACCTAATTATTGTGCTCCTAAAATTCTTTCGATATTATAACAAAGTTTATTCTATGTTGTGCGTTATTACTTCTAATTTTCTTTGTCTAGCTTAAAGTTCCATTTACACTTTTATTACAGCGTTCGCGGCTGAGTGAACAATAATACGAAAATTATACTTCCATATGTAAGAGTTCCTGAACACAATTCGTTAAAGCCTTTTTTGATTTTGAATGTCTTTTTTGGATATTTTTTAAATGTTCTAATCACTCTGAGCACCACCACCTGTTACGGGTTGAGAGTTTATGAAGTAGGTAATTATAGTCCAGGAGGCAGCGACATTTTTTGTGCACTCATTTCTACAAAGCTGATATTCCTCCCATTTTATTGTTTTGATAGCACACGTAAACAAAACGGTAGTCTACCGCGTCGACGGTGTTGCCTAAGTTTGCAACAATGTTCTGAACATGTTAATAAATAATACCTATGTACATGTCTCATTTCTACAAGAATGAAAGTTTTTACAGTAATTAAGTATACCTAAAAATGAAGTATGGTAATAGTCTACCGAGGTGGAAGCGTTGCTATCACAAGTCTACCATCCACGCAAGATGCATAAAAATTTATGCAATTGAACTTATTTGTACAAAGATGAAATTTTTATTGGAAAAAGTTGATGTCATAAGAAACCAATTAAATTGTCTACCGATCGCGTGATGTTGCTAAGGTCTCGGTAGACACGCCGGAAGGTACGATTTTCCGAGCACAGCTGCTGCACCGCTCTGCTAAAAGTACCTCTAAATTATTATATACACTGGCATAATATAAAAATATTTCAAAAACGAACTTAGGCAATTAACATGGGAAAAAGGTTTTTTGCAGATCGTTTGCTCCCCATGATAATTTAGGTCTTAGCGGGCTTGTAATGTCACCAATCGAAAGAAGATTTTTTTCGTTATCTAATGATATACGAATTAGTTCATTTTCAGTTGTATTTCTCATTATTAACGATCCTCGAGATCGTTTATAATTTTGTATTGCTGTCTGTCTGTTCGTCTGTCCGTGTGCACGATAACTCATAACTGAATAACTTTGTATAGAAAAGTCCGATCACTTTGAAAATTGAAACAGCTGTTCTTAATGATATAAGAAAAGTCGATATTGTTTTTCAGCTACGTAGACTAACGGGGAAAAAATTACAGCTCAAAAACTGCTCAAACCTCCAAAAAAGGGCTTCTTTTATAATTCTTGTTACAAAGAACATGTGAATGCCCGGTTTTCTGTGTTAGTAAATGTCCCTTAAGCCCCAGGTAACTATGCAGATGAATAAAAAAATTTGCGCATGCGCAACCCAACTTTTGTATTTGCGCAATCCCAATTTTCTTAATTTGTTAAGATATTTAATCGAAATTTAATATGTAGGCACCTCGAGGAAAAGTAAAACTAACTCCGTTTCAAACAATTTGTTTTGCAAGCTATTCCGATCTGGTGAGACAGAATCAACCCCTTAAGGCGCGTTGTAAAAATGATGGATGCGTGACGATCTCGAGGATCGTTCGATATTTAGTTGTATCGGATTTTTTAATCAAAAATTCGTTATTCGTTATTCAATTCGAAATGAATATCAGTTTATGACAACTGTCAATAATTTTTTTTGTAAAATTTATTCACTGAGGAAATAGTTATTTATATAACAAGAGCGCGAAGTTCAATTTCGCGCATTGAGACTGAAGGTATTTTGACGAGGCGAAGCCGAGTTAAAATATCAGTCAAATGCGCGAAATAACTTCGCGCTAGCGTTATATACAATATTTTTTCTACAACTGAACCGATTGTTAATTAAATTGCTGTTTAAGTTCAACTTTGTCCCGTGCGCGAAATACTTTTTTTCACTGTTGACGATTTCGCGCACGTTGTCAAGAGCAACCTTACTTATTAATTAACCGATTAAAAATCTAGTACTTCGCGTTTCGAAATCCGTCAGAAAATGACAGGTTTTTTTGACAGTTGTAGAAAAAAGTATTTATTATAAACGACGGCGGAAATAGTTATACTGTAGGTACGCGATATTTGTTTTCCATGCATTTTTTTGAATTTTTTCTCAATCCGTCTGTGTCAATTCTTTAGAAAATGTTCATAGCTTAACATGATTTTGGTAATTGGAGTTATTGCCGAATTTTGGATAAAATAATGAAAACTAAAAAGATTAGTTATTTTAAATTTCCTATCAAAAACAAACCTCGAATGACGGCATGGAAAATAAATTGTGGAAATTCTTTTATTGCCGGGCCAGACGATGAAGAATTAAAATATAAAATCGTTTGTGAAAATCACTTTAATTCATGTGATATTTACAAAAGCGGCAATAAAGTTATTGAGAATCAATTCAATTCCTTTGCCTTACTCAAAACAAGGTAACCATGCTATTTTTTGTCGTTAAAATGACTGATACATTTTTTCAAGATTTAAATTACAAAGAAGATGGCCCTTCTACCTCATACTGCAATCAAACGTTCAAAGAGACGAGAAGTATTCCACCCCATTCAAACATTTTTTGCGAAAACTCCAATTCAACCACAAATTCGACTTTATGTACAGAAATTTTGAAAATGCCATCACCACAAAAATTACCTAGAAATAATATTACATACAAGTTTAAAACTTTGAGCAAAAAAGCTAAATACGAAAAACGTTCAAATTCATAGACTGAAAACTAAAACATCTCGCTTCTCAACAGGTTAGTCAATTAAATTTTTTGCATAGTTATCAAATTACCGGGCTTTTTTTAACAAAAAATCGTATGGAAACTGGTACTTTTGTTCACGATTTTCTATAAACAGTAGCATTAAATTTTGACACAAAATAGCGAATGTCAATGATATTATTCAGTTATGAGTTATCGTGCACACGAACAGACAGACGGCAATATAAAATTATAAACGAACTCGAGGATCGTTAATAATGAGAAATACAACTGAAAATGAACTAATTCGTATATCATTAGATAAAGAAAAAAAATCTTCTTCCGATTGGTGTCATTATAAACCCGCTAAGACCTAAATTATCATGTGGAGCAACGATCTGCAAAAAACCTTTTTCCCATGTTAATTGCCTATGTTCGTTTTTGAAATATTTTTAATTTATGCCCGTGTATATAATAATTTAAAGGTACTTTTAGCAGAGCAGTGCAGCAATTGCGCTCGGAAAATCGTACCTTCCAGCGCCAGCGTGTCTACCGAGACCTTAGCAACATCACACGATCGGCAGACCAATTTTTTTTTGGTGTTTTATGACATCAACTTTTTGAAACAAAAATAGTCGGTAGACTATTAACCGTACTTCATTTTTAGGTATACTTAATTACCGTACAAACTTTCATCCTTGTAGAAATGAGACATGTACAATGTACATAGTGTTTATTAACATGTTCAGGACATTGTTGTAAATTTAGGCAACACCGCCGACGCGGTAGACTACCATTTTGTTTACTTATACGATCAAAACAATAAAATGGAAGAATATCAGCTTTGTAGAAATGAGTGCACAAAGATGTCGCTGCCTCCTGGACTATTATCTCGTTTTTTTTTTATAATTTTGTTGCTCGCCGAGAATAGTATATTGAAAGACAAGTGTTACAATGCGACCTATTGTAATACGACTATCTTGTGGCACGAGTGGCGACGCGAAGCGTAGCCACGAGTGTCCGCAAGATAGGAGTATTACAATAGGTCGCATTGTAACACGCGTTTTTCATACTATTTTTTCTATTTCGGTGCCTTAATTTAATTAAAAAAATCATTATCAGAAACTATAGGGAACATTAGAACTAACATGTTTTATGTTGGGAACACTTTTTTCCCGTTAAGTTTTAGGTTGGCAGCGTAGTAAGACTGACATTTTGAAGTTCAAACATGGAAGTACCCAACGAAGTACCTACTTGTACTAACTAGTAACTGCCAACTTAAGAGATGAGTTACCAAAAAAAAACGACTATAATCACTGTCTTTGTACAACTGTTTTCGGCCTAAAACAGTTGTACAAAATCATCATTGTGACACCGAAATAGAAAAAATAGTTTTATCAATCATACACAGAAATTCATTGCGTCCACAGATCTAAGCGTGGTTTTTCATTTGGTTCCACGTCAAGATCGTAATCTTCCAGAATATTGATATGGTAAGATTGTTAAGCGGTCAGGAAAATTTGTAAGCGCATCGCGAGTCTTGGGGCGGGAGAGTCTCCTCAAATGGAACGATGGCAGCTAACTGCCACTGATCTCGAATGGCTTCTACTTTGGCAAGTACGCGAAGTATATTTTTCCCTGCTAGTAATTTGATGTCGCTCAATGACCAGTTGGGATCTGCCAGAAGCTCGGCTAACAGTCTGGGATATCCCGAGACGTCCTCGAGTCCACTCGGTGTCATATTGATGCCATCGTATCCTGCACCGATGCCTACGTGATTTATACCCGCAACGGTTCGAATATGGTTAATGTGTCTGATGACGTCCTTTATGGTGGCGGTTTCATTGCAGGTGATGAGGTACGTGTAGAAATTAATCATGACAACTCCGCCGTTGTGGGCCACCAATTTAAGTATGTCATCTGGTACATTCCGACTTGAATTGCACAAGGAATACGCGCTTGAGTGTGAAAATATTACAGGCGCCTGTGAGGCGTTCAGGGCCGCTTTTGCAGTGTTGACCGAGGTGTGCGACAGATCAATCATCATACCCAATCGGTTCATTTCTTTAATCACACTGTAGCCGAAGGGCGTTAATCCCCCAGTACCTTGCGAATTAGACCCGTAAGCCCATGACGTATCGCACGTGTGGGTAATCGTCAAATACCGCGCACCTAAATTGTAGAACATCCGCAAGACAGCCAGCGAGTTTCCGATGGAATGTCCACCTTCCACGCCGATCAGTGACGCTATCCGTCCCTCTTTGTGCACCTCCAAAATTTCGTTGGCGCTCTTCACGAACGCAAAGTACTTTGGATTTGAGTCCACGAGTCGACGAATCGCATCAATTTGCTCCAGCGTGAGTTGCACTGCGTCTAAATGTTGCGCCCCACAAGGCACGTAAGCGGACCAAAATTGTGCACCCAACTGCCCTTCCTTCAGTCTGGGTATGTCGGTCTGTGACCACCGACTTCTCATCCACGGCTCCTTCCTCGAAATATCGCTCAGATTAAAGCCGATCAATTTATTGTGCACAAACTTCCGTATATTCCAAGCCAAATCGTTATGTCCGTCGATCAGCGGAGTTTCCCGAAGTAACCGACGAACGGCCATTAGACGCTCTTCTGGTGTGTGCATTGGCAGGTCCGGATGCAACGCGAGCGGAAGTCCTAAACCTATACCCAAAGCTGCTACGATTACGCAAACCACCAGGCATATACACCATGGATTCCGGAATGAGGTTCTGCTCGATGTCGTACTATCCGTACTGCAACTGCACGAGTCAAATGACGAATCTTGGTACTCGTGATAGTGATAACCGGAACTATCGTAATATTGAGGCACTACATTGAACGACGTTTCCTCCGGAAATTCGTGAGGAATTGGTGGTATCTGTAATACAAACACAGCGGTAAGTAATTGCAGTTTAGAAATATTAACAGTAAATCGGTTTTCGGTTCAAAAAAAAAACAAACCGGACCGCTTGCCCATTTAAACGCGCTTTAATGGGATTAATCCAGGTACGTTTGAGGAAGGAGATCCAAAGGGAGAACGAAACTAACAAACGTACCTTATCGTAAACAAAAAAATAACGAGAAACTCTTACGGGCAAATCCCTTCAAAAGTTCTACGGTAAAATATGTACTTTTAGTCAAAATGATATAAAATAGGCTTTAAATACCCTCAAGCTACTTTCGTGAGGTTTTGTAGGTAAATATTTCTCCCAACGACAGAATTAGCGTTAATGACCGAGCGGAATATTCAAACATGCAATTTTCTGCAGCCAAGCTGTTACATAGACCAGTTCTTATAACGAGCACAGATAGCGGATCAAATTGTAATTAAATACTCATCAGATCCAGAACGATAACTATAAAAAGCTTAAATGTTAGCGGCTTGTATTCGGATAAAATGCAACGCCAGAAAAATGTTTAAATCGGAATTTGAAACTGTGCAAGTGTAACTGTTGTGACTACAGCAGAGTCTCAAAACTACGATAATAAATGTAAAATATGGAAACATTATGTGTCGGATTTTAAATCGGAACATTACACCTAAATTAATTAAATATTGGGTAAAACTAAGATGCAAGTAAAATATTCAAAACGATTAAGACTGAAAAAAATTGAATATCTGTAAAAACAAGATGTGTCACAAGTTCCGTTTGTTCTTATTTGTTATTATTATGCAATTTAAAAACAAAGGATGTCTTAAAAACATTACAACGTGGCAGTTACTGAGTGCCGATAGAAGTGAGTATAGGTACTTTTTATAGTTTCTCTCTCGTCACAAATTTTCACTTACCGCGTGTTGATTCGTATAAATCGCGTCTTTCTGAGTATCTTTTGTGACATTATAACTATCATGGTTCCTAATTAATACAAAAAGTTGTCGCATAAATTTAATGGGCGCCTTATAAAAGAAAACCGCGTGCGTTTGGGATCGAACCACGAACTTATTAAGATGGACTGCTGATCAAACAGTTGTAGAGAGGTAGAAATGGCTATAGCATGGGCCCGGCCATGATGTGCACGTTTTAGTTATTTTCTAGGGGAATTTTTCTAGAGCTCAAGTTTTGAGACTATTGCAGCCTTGGAAAATGACATGTGTCACAGTAATTTATTTAGAAAACGCGAGGTTAATAAGCATTAATAAGCGTTTATTAGTTGATTTGAATTTCGCGCCAAGTGAGTGCACATCATGGCTGCCCCCATGTAGTAGGTGTCATTTGTCAATTCAGCATTAGCAGTCCATCTTCATTTATAAGTTCGTGGTTCGAACCCGCGTAATCGACCGTACCCGCTTAGTCTCCTACGTAATAAAATTGTGCCGAGGTAAAGCGAGTCGGAATTTGCTGAAATTGATCTCATTGAACGTAGTTGGTTTAATAATGAATGAATGAATGGTTTATTTACAAAAAATATACAACTTGTGGTCCAGCTAAGTCTGAGACTTATCACCCGGTTCCAAAATTTACATTTACATTATTTAAAATTATTCTTCTTTCTGGACTTTATTTCTTGTGGCTCTTGAGATGAACTGAAAACAGAACTATATTTCGAAATTGTAATTATAATTAGGTACATCATAATTTTGCATAAAATAATTAAATTGCCAACTAGCACCTCTTAATGGATATAACATACAAATAATTATTTACAAACCGAGTTACAAACGTTCAGAACTGGTACAATTCAATTTTTATTGGTTTTATATCATAAAATATAATTAATATGCAATTTGAAAAGGCATTGATTGGACAATATCTATTGTATAATTTTTAAATGACGTAAAGTAAAATAAAATCTATTAAAAAATGAAACGTAATTTATCTGTAAATAATAATAATAATAATAATAATACAACACCTCCGCGATTCTTTTTTTAAATCAAGCTGGAGGGGAGGGGGGATTATTGATTTTATCTTTCAAGGTAGGTATTCTAACTAAAGGTCTCAACGAAAGGAACTGTTTTTTACCTCCTTTCTCCCTTCCCACATATCAAAATGCGGGGAATTCACTTTATTAAGCGGCAGAGCAAAGCGATGCAAGCTTTATAGGGGAGCCGATGGTGTCCGTCTGTTCGCCTGTCCGTAAACACGATAACTGTCAAATGCTTGGACCGATTTGGTTCAAACTTTGCACAGTCGACCTATATGTCACAAGTAATAAGCCTATTGAAAATCCAATGACCCCTTGGGGTCACGGCTCTTTGTCTCTGCCAAAGTCTTGAACCTATTTAGTTCAAACTTTGCACAGTTGGCCTATATGCCACATGTCACAAGCCTATTGAAAATGGGTCAAATCCAATGACCCCTTGGGGTCACGCCTCTCTGTCTCTGGCAAACGCTTGAACCTATTCGGTTCAAACTTTGCACAGTTAACATATATACCACATGTAACAAGCCAATTGAAAATGGATCAAATCCAATGACTCCGTGGGGTCACACCGAGGTGCTCTGTCGCTTTTTTAAACGCTCTTTATGGGTTTATTTTTAATACGTCAGGGTGTCTTGGTTACGTGAGGGTTAAAAGGACAATGAATAACTTAAAACTGTTAAAAACATGAGTTTGATTTCAAATTTTGCGAGTTGAAAATCGGAATTTCTCTATAATTAAGGAGCAAGATCATTTGAACCCCAACAAATTGTATTAACATCTGTCTCTGCCTTTCTGCCCCATTGTAAATTTGAGGAATGGTTTTTTGTAAACTATTATTAATATACAGGATGAGTTTTTCTTTTCATTTTAAACATTGGGATCATCTCAGAAACCATAAGACATACAGATTCGGTTAAATGAGGAAATAGTTGTCGTTTTAAGAGCTTATTTAAGATACGCTTTTGTTTTTTGAAAAAAATCCACAGTTTACTAGATATTGAGCGAAAAATAGATTTAGTGATTTTTCATTTAACTGTTGTAAAATAGTTATTTTTAGAAATACAGCAAAATGACAGGAATAAAAGTTTTAGGCATTTTAATGCTTAATATTATGAACATACTAGTTATAATACAAACTTTAATTTTTTTAATGATCGTCATAGTTGGCTTTGACATTTTTAAAATGGACAAATTTTTCTCTTTACAACGATATAAGGCTTGCTAAATGTACATTTAATAATTAAACGCGCTGCAGGAATTTTCGTATTATTGAGAGGTAAATAAACAGAGTTTGCTATGGAAAACAACGTCTAGTGAAATAGGTAATAGTGTAACTGTGGCACATTTAACATATTTAAAGGCCATTTTCTAAAATTCACTATGAAAGTTAAATGAACAATTATATTAAATACACTATTAAAAGTAGATCGTATCATGCTATGGAAAACAATAAATAAGCAAAATACTGCTGTTTATTGTTGAAGACCTCAAAAAAACTTGGACTTAATGTTTGGTGCGGAATTATTCGATCACGAATTCTTGGACCTTTAATTTACGATGAAACTTGGACAGGCAGGCCAACGTTATCTTCATTTGCTACAAAATGAATTTCATGATATGTAGGATGGGTTAGATTTGGAAACACGACGTAATTTACGCTGGTTTCACCACAATGGTGCCTCGCCGCAACAACAACCAACTGCAAGTCGAGAGCACATAAACCAACGAATGCACTTTTTAAAAATGTCACAGCTATGGACGCTATGGTTGCCATTTAAAAAAATGTAAGTTTGAGTTACAACTCGAAAATTATTAAAAGAAGAATGAAAATTCATAAATGTACCTTATTAAGCGGAAAAAATGTACGATTTTTGTTCTTTACATATTTTTGTATTTTTAATATTAACGAGTCTATAACATTTAAAAGAAAAATCACTAAATCTGTTTTTCGCTCAATATCTAGTAAACTGTGGATTTAAAAAAAAAGCATATTTTGAATAAGCTCTTAAAACGACAAGTCTTTCCTCACTTAACCGAATCTCTATGTCAGGCGTGGGCAACCTTTTTTTCCAAGGGGCCAAAATAAAATTTTTTATATGCGCCACGGGCCACACTTGAAAATCCAAATAAAAAGTATGTTTAAAGAAATCAATATTTAAGTATCAATTTCTTTTTGGTCTTGATCTATTTTTTGCTTTCGTAAAAATTATTAAAAAAAAAAAATCAATAAGTACTGAAAATTGACACGATTTTGCAAACAAAATTTAACAGATGTGGATAATAAATCCCCATATTCAGTTTGTATCCAAATTTTCATTTATGCTCTTAAGATTCTTTATCCCTAAAACACGTGTCGTTGTATTGCCCCACCCGGTATTATCGCGAGGAAAATTCTGGAAAATACCTGGCGGTATCTCTGAAACAATAAATGCATCTTTAACTAGGCTTTCAAACGTTTTGGAAGCTTCGGATCACGTCCACTAGATGCTGCACGTGTAACATAATGATATTAATTAATTAATTAATTAGAATTTGAAACTTGTGAGCCCTATGAAGTACTACCTAACTATGAATTATATTAGCGGGCCGGACAAAACCTATCGGCGGGCCGTGGGTTGCCCACGCCTGCTCTATGTCTTACGGTTACCGAGATCCTAATGCTTAAAATGAAAAAAAACTCACCCTGTATACAATTATTGCACTATCAAAACTATATAGGACTAATACACTATTAGAAGTTCAAAAAATTTAATTGAAAACAAGATGTGGATATACGGAATTTAATTTACAGCAAAGTAACGAGATAAACAAATTGCTTCACTAACACCCACACAAGGTCGCAGCTTGCGAATGACACCGACATCCCATACAATAGCCCTTTGTTCTAAAAATATCTGCGCTTTACAATTTCGCGCGTCTTCGTATCCCGCCAGGTAGTTTGTACTATTGTAGTAAAAACATATTGTGTATATTGTTTAATACCAAAACAGATGTTTAAACACATTTACATAT